AGGAGGCGGAGGTTGCGGTGAGCCGAGATCGCGCCATTGCACTCCAGCCTGGGTAACAAGAGCGAAACTCTGTCTCAAAAAAAAAAAAAAAAATTACATTTTAAAGATAAAATAATAGTGAAATTCAGCTTTTTATTTTTTGCAACGCCCTGCCACTCTTGTGTTTTTATATGCTTCCATGTGATAAATTTCACTGAAGTTGTGTTTCTTCCTCAGGTGCAGCTGGTGAATAATCGGTTTAAAGGAGTCAAGTATTTTCGCTTGAACACCCTAGCCTCTCTAGGCTATGTGGTTGTGGTGATCGACAACAGGGGGTCCTGCCACCGAGGGCTTAAATTTGAAGGCGCCTTTAAATATAAAATGGTGTGTGAGCATAAAAACACTTCTTTTACAGACATTTACATTTTCTGGTGCATTGTTTGGTGTGAGACCCTGGAAAGAGAGTTGGGGGAAGGGGCTATGGATGAGTGAGTGAGAGTGTGTGTGTGTTAGAGTGTAGGGGCGGGAGAGAAGATGCAGCCTGATGTACACTAGGCTAGCTCATGTCTACCTATACGTAACTGGGGAATTGAGATAGAGCCTCTTGTACATAGAAGTACCCGCTCTTATTTTGTATGTCCGCTTGGGTAGAAGTTAGTACCATTTACCTTTCAGCATCCTGTACACTGTTGAGGAATAATTGAGATTTGTTCTGTCCTCTGTGAAGAGGGAATCCAACTGGTTAGTGCCTTCCTTGTGACAAGCCTCTTTCTCTCTACAGGAAGCTTTAAATGCTACCTTTTAGAGATGCCCCATGTCCTTTCTGCTGCTTTGGGAAATGATGAGAATCCGATGTTCCTTTTGCACAGTAAGGCAGTTACTGTGTTTCCCAGTGTTATTGGACATGCTGAGTAAGACATGGGGATTTTCTCCCACAGCCAGTTCTTTGACCTTATGTTGTATTCTCATGTAAGTTTTTTTGTTTTTATTTTTGTTTTTGGCTCAGTGAAGTGAGATTGTGTGCACTGGCAGGCCTAGTAATATGGACAAGGTGGTGGTGGTAGGACTTAGGACTTTAAAGAAGCAGTATGTTCAGTTCCTAGAGGTAGTGTGATAGGGAAATAGGAAGATAGAGCCTCAAGAGCAATTCCTTCTGCTTTACTGCTCTCAAAATTTAAAAGGAGAAGTAGGCCAGGTGCGGTGGCTCACGCCTGTAATCCCAGCACTTTGGGAGGCCAAGGCAGGAAGATCACTTGAGCCCAGGAGTTCGAGACCGGCCTGAGCAACATAATGAGACCCCACCTCTACAAATAAGTTAAAAAATTAGCTGGGCATGGTGGTGCACACGTGTGTTCCCGGCCACTTGGGAGGCTGAAGTGGGAGGATCACTTGAGCCCAGGAGGTTGAGCTACAGTGAGCTGTGATCACACTACTGCACTCCAATCTGGACAGCACAGTGAGACCCTGTCTCCAAAAAATATAAGTAAAAAGAAGTAAAAGTAATCACTTAAGGGGCTAATTTTTGTCTTTGGGTATAGGAAGGCTTGTTACAAGGAAGATGCTGACCTCTTAACAGACAACAGAACAAATGGAAATGGGAAATACCCAAATAGCAAGGGACAGTTTGAGTAGCAGTAGGAAGGAGCTTTATGACTAAGTGGTAACTGAACTCTAGGACAAGCTAGCAACAGAAGTTATAGGCCCCTATCTCCAAATAGATTTTTAAAAATTTTGAGGTGGAGGGCAATAGAACCTCAGTTGGTAATAAACTAAAAATCCTACAGGGCCGGGTGTGGTGGCTCATGCCTGTAATCCCAGCACTTTGGGAGGCTGAGGTGGGCGGATCACTTCAGGTCAGGAGTTCAAGACCAGCCTGGCCATAGTGAAACTCTGTCTTTACTAAAAATACAAAAAGCTGGGCATGGTGGCACATGTCTGTAATCCCAGCTACTTGGGAGGCTGAGGCAGGAGAATTGCTTGAACCCAGGAGGCGGAGGTTGCAGTGAGCTGAGATTGTGCCAGTGCACTCCAGCCTGGGTGACAGAGTGAGACTCCATCTCAATCAATCAATAAATAAAAGTTAAAATCATATATACCCACAGGTATTTTTTGTAAAAACATTTATCTCTAAAAGCACTCTTATGAGACTTCTATTCATCAGAATCAGTGAAATGCTCTCCCTTTTTTGACAGGGTCAAATAGAAATTGATGATCAGGTGGAAGGACTTCAATATCTAGCTTCTCGATATGATTTCATTGACTTAGATCGTGTGGGCATCCACGGCTGGTCCTATGGAGGATACCTCTCCCTGATGGCATTAATGCAGAGGTCAGATATCTTCAGGGTATGTGACTTCCTACTATACTCATTTTTGCAATAAGGGTAGATTTTTCTGTAAATTGAGGATATGTGAAAATTCTATTTCCTGAAGGTTTACAGCATTGGCATTTTTTTTTTTCTTTTTCTTTCTTTTTTTTTTTTTTTAGACAAAGTGTTGCTCTTTTGCCCAGGCTGGAGTGTGGCGTTGTGATATCAGCTCATTGCAACCTCTGTCCCCCAGGTACAAGCGATTCTCATGTCTCAGCCTCCTGAGTAGCTGGGATTGTAAGTGCCTGACACCACGCCTGGCTTTTTTTTTTTTAAAGTAGAAATGGGGTTTCACAATGTTGGCCAGGCTAGTTTTTAACTCCTGACCTCAAGTGATCCGCCCGCCTTGGCCTCCCAAAATGCTAGGATTACAGGCGTGAGCCACTGTGCCTGGCCCAGAGCTGGCAATATTGTGGAATGTTAGGGCTTGTATGTTTCAGAGCCATGTGAAACGTATATAAATATCAAGCTTTTTTTCTTTTTTTTCTGAGTTGGAATCTTGCTTTTCACCCAGGCTGGAGTGCAGTGGTGTGATCTTGGCTCACTGCAGCCTCCACCTCCTGGGTTCAAGTGATTTCCAGCTCATTTTTGTACTTCAGTAGAGGTGGGGTTTCACCATGTTGGCTAGGCTGGTTTTGAACTCCTGACCTCAAGCGATCCGCCCGCCTCAGCCTCCCAAAATGCTGGCATTACAGGCGTGAGCCACTGTGCTAGCCTTCAGTTTTTATGTGTGTGTGTATGTTTTTTCTTTTAAACATTCATCAACTGGATAACCAGTTAGTTATTGGCTGTTTGTAGATACATGCCAAAAAGCATGGGAGATGGTTATGATTAGCAGAACACACATGACATACCTGTTGGATTGTAATTACTTGTTTAACTGTTGGACTGCAAGCCATGAGGGCGGGGACCTGTTTGCCCTGTACACCACTGTATCCTCAGCAGTCAGGCACAATGCTGGGCATATAGTAGGCCCTCAAATGGGTTAAATGAATGAATTATTAAATGTATAAATGTGGCCGGGCGCAGTGGCACATACCTGTTATCCCAGCACTTTGAGAGGCTGAGGTGGGTGGATCACGAGGTTAAGAGATCGAGACCATTCTGGCCAACGTGGTGAAACCTCGTCTCTACTAAAAATACAAAAATTAGCTAGGTGTGGTGGTGCATGCCCGTAGTGCCAGCTACTCGGAAGGCTAAGGCAGGAGAATCTCTTGAACCCGCAGGGCGGAGGCTGCAGTGAGCCAAGATCGTGCCACTGCACTCCAGCCTGGTGACAGAGCAAGATTCCATCTCAAAAAAAAAAAAAAAAATATGTATAAATGCTTACAATTCTATTAACAAACCCTTGGGAAAATGTACTAGAAGAAAATACATAAGGATGATAACAATTATTGAGAGTAGGAATTATGAGCAGTGTTTCTTTTTTAAAATTTCAGTAACAATTTTACTTTACGGGGGAAAAGTAATTTTTAAATTTTTATTTTATTTTATTTTATTTATTTATTTATTTGAGACGGAGTCTCATCCTACCACCCAGTTTGGAGTGCAATGGCACTATCTTGGCTCACTGCAACCTCCACCTCCCGGGTTCAAGTGATTCTCCTGCCTCAGCCTCCCAAGTAGCTGGGATTACAGGCGTGCGCCACCACGCCTGGCTAATTTTTTATATCTTTAGTGGAGATGGGGTTTCACCATGTTGGCCAGGCTGGTCTCGAACTCCCAGTCTCGTGATCCACCCACCTCGGCCTCTCAAAGTGCTGGGATTACAGGCATGAGCCACGGCACCTGGCCTATTTTTTTTTTTTTTTTTTGAGACAGACTCTTGCTCTATCACCCAGGCTGGAGTGCAGTGGCACGGTCTTGGTTCACTACAACCTCCGCCTCTTGGGTTCAAGTGATTCTAGCGATTCTCTTGCCTCAGCCTCCCGAGTAGTTGGGATTACAGGCGCCCACCACTACACTTGGTCAATTTTTATATTTTTAGTAGAGATGGGGTTTCACCATGTTGGCCAGGCTGGTCTCAAACTCCTGACTTCAGGTGATTTACCTGCCTCAGCCTCCTAAAGTGCTAGGATTACAGGCATTAGCCATCGGGCCTGACCCTTAATTTTTATTTTTAAGAACAAAAACAATAAGATTTTTATTCTTGCACATATATCCAGTTAAGCTTTATAATAACCATAAATAAATTCTAACCACGCCCTTAGTTTTTAGAAGTTTATAGCCGTCAAAATAATTAGAATACTTAAATATAAAACTATAGGAGCCTTAAAATGAAGCACATTTTTAGTATATTTGATATATTATTTTAAATTCTGTACTGCCAACAGAGGTTTAAAAAAAGATGGCTCCTTTTTTACATAAAACTGACAGTTCTCGGACATTTTTTTCCTCAGCAGGATGTAGTTCAGTCATTTTCCTATTTTTTTTTTTTTTTTTTTTTCTTTTTTTTTTTTTTTTTTTTTAAGATTGAGTCTTGCACTATCGCCCAGGCTGTAGCGCGGTGGCGCGGTCTTGGCTCACTGCAATCTCTGCCTCCTGGGTTCAAGCAATTCTCCTGCCTCAGCCTCGTGAGTAGCTGGGACTACAGGCGTGTGCCACCACGCCCAGCTAACTTTTTTGTATTTTGAGTAGACATGGAGGTTTCACTATGTTGGCCAGGATGGTCTCAATCTCCTGACCTTGTGATCTGCCTGTCTCAGCCTTCCACAGTGCTGGGATTACAGGCGTGAGCCACTGCGCCCGGCCTAGTTCAGTCGCCTTTTAACAAAGGACCTGGCTTTTGTATTTCAGCAAGCCCAGGTTAAAGGTTTGGTATGTAGAATGCCTATGGAACATGAAACTGACTCACAAACTATGAAACCCTTGACCTTGGCACTTCACTTCAGTTTTCTGAGTTGCCCAGGACATGCATGCCCCAGTAGTAAGGCTAAAGCGTGAGGATAATTTTAGCTGTAAATTTGCAGTTGTAAGATCTCACTGCTAGCCAGTCTCTTTTTCCAGACCACACTTGACTGTCAATGTCGTCGTATGCAGGTTGCTATTGCTGGGGCCCCAGTCACTCTGTGGATCTTCTATGATACAGGATACACGGAACGTTACATGGGTCATCCTGACCAGAATGAACAGGGCTATTACTTAGGATCTGTGGCCATGCAAGCAGAAAAGTTCCCCTCTGAGTAAGTGCAAGCCTTCTTTTTTTTTTTTAATGAGACAGGGTCTCACTCTGTCACTCAGGCTGGAGTGCAGTGGTATGATCAGGGCTCCCTGCAGTGTCAAACTCCTGGGCTCGGGATCCTCAGCCCTGAGTAGCTGGGACTACAGGCATGTGCCACCATGCCCACCCAGTTTTTTGTAGTTTTAGTAGAGGCGGGGTTTTGCCATGTTGCCTATGGTGGTTTTGAACTCCTGGACTTAAGTGATCTGCCCACCTCCGACTCCCAAAGTGCTGGGATTACAAGGCGTCAGCCGCTGTGCACGGCATAGCTCAAGCTTACGTGAAGATTATAAATTTTAAATTGTATTTTTAAAAATTGTCTTCAATCCTAATGAAAAATTCAAATACTGAAAAACCAAGATGAATATGTTATACTAGAATAGCCTGGCTGTTTCTTAAAACTGAATTACAGGTCAGTTCATGTAATGCTTTTTTACAAGTTATAATTGAAGCAATTGTTTTTGCTGAAAAAAGTGCTCAACTGTTTCAAGGTGGAAAAATTTTACGTCTGCCTGAATATATTTTACAAATAGTTCTAGGGACTTGCTATAATTATACATGTGCCCTAATATTTTATTTATAAAAAATTGAACACATGATCTTTTTTTAATCTTTCATTACATGTGGCATCTGTTTAATATGTTACAAATTTAATATTGAAAATATTAAATCCTTATTCTAACATCACAGTATAAGGAAGTTAATATGGTTAAGTATGATTAAATAAGTGAAATGGTTTTCCCAAAGCTCTACTATTTTGTCTAATCCTCTAATATTTCCATTTCTCAGACCAAATCGTTTACTGCTCTTACATGGGTTCCTGGATGAGAATGTCCATTTTGCACATACCAGTATATTACTGAGTTTTTTAGTGAGGGCTGGAAAGCCATATGACTTACAGGTGAGTTATTTTACATTTTCTAGTTAAATGTAGTCATGATTAGTGATTGATTACTTTGAAATCTGTTAACTGTGGGGTAAGGCCAGATTTTTAGAGTGTCCACCCTCTGCTTAAGAGAAGTAAAGTAAGAGGCATAGTTAGCAGTGCCTGTAGTTGGATAAAAATTAAGATTCTGTTGCAGTCAGGCTGTCAAACCTGCCTGTCAGATTACATAACTCTGTGTCTGTATCTGCTTTCAGTTTGGAAGCAAGGAAAAGATGACAAGCAGTCCGTTCACTGTTCTCCTTTGCTTTTCTTTATCCCCTTCGAAGAATGAGGAAGTGCTACTTGATTTCATTGCTGCAAAAGGATTTTTAGGACCTGTTTATATGGTCTTTTAATTTTCTTTTATTTTACATTGACTTTGGAGCAGAAACCAGCAAGTTAACGCTCCTCCATTGCTCCATTATTCATTGCTCATTATTCCAGTTTTTCTTGAAATTGTGTTTTACTCCTTTAAACAGATTATGTGCTCTTAAAAAATGAAAAAATTACTTTTTTCTTTTTTACATTTCAGGTGATATTTATGTTTAAACTATGAGATATTTATCTATAGCAGCAATTTTTAAGCCTTTTGGTTTTAGAACACCTTTACCTACCAAAGAACTTTGTTTATATCGATTATAGCAATATTTTTCATATAAGATATTAAAACTGAGAACAATTTTAAATATTTTAAAATAATAAACTATTGGCTGGGCGCTGTGGCTCACGTCTGTAATCCCAGCACTTTGGGAGGCCGGGTGAGGGGATCACCTGAGGTTGGTAGTTCAAAACCAGCCTGACCAACATGGAGACACCCCCTCTCTACTAAAAATACAAAAATTAGCCAGGCATGGTGGCAGGCACCTCAGGAGGCTGAGGCACAATTGCTTGAAACCAGAGGCAGAGGTTGCAGTGAGCCAACATTGTGCCACTGCACTCCAGCTTGGGTGACAGAGTGGGCTCTGTCTCAAAAAAGAAAAGGCATATTTTAGCCTTTTCAGATAATTGTAGATATTCTTTGATACTGTACCAAAACTGGACAAGTGGTAGTGTCTTAAAGGTTATGAGATTTTGTTTGTTGTTTTAAATATATAGATAACATATATATATATTATATATATGTTTTATATATATATATATATTTTATATATATATTTTATATATTATATATATATATATATATATATATATATTTTTTTTTTTTTTTTTTTTTTTTTTTTTAGATGGATTTTCGCTCTTGTTACCCATGTTGGTGTGTAATGTCTTAATCTCAGCTCACCGCAACCTCCGCCTCCTGGGTTCAGGCAATTCTCCTGCCTCAGCTTCCTGAGTAGCTGGGATTACAGGCGTGCGCCAGTATGCCCAGCTAATTTTTGTATTTTTAGTAGAGACGGGGTGTCACCATGTTGACCAGGATGGTCTCGATCTCTTGACCTCGTGAT